CTATTGGCTTTTTTTTAGCCCTTTAATTTTTACGGTTGATATAAAGGTTACAATATATATTTTTTGCTTTTGTTATAAACTCTAAAAGAAAATGTTATTTTGTGAGTTTTAAAGAAAGAAAAGGAGGAATATATAGTCGTTTATATTTATCCATGTAGTTACCCATTTCCAGTGACTTTCATTCTCTCCAGTAGATTACAGTTTCCATCTGGTATCATTTTCCTTCAGCCTAAAGAACTTCCTTTCTTTTTTATGTAATACAGTTTTGCCAGTGTTGAATATTCTGTTTTCGTTTACGTGAAAATATCTTTACTTTCTCTTTAATTTTGAAGGATATTTTCTCTGGCTTTGGAATTCTGGCTGACTAGTATCTTTTCTCTTCAGCACTGTAAAGATGTTACGCTGTTGTCTTGTGGCCTCCACTGTTTGTCACAAGTAACCGTGAGTTGTGTTGTATTTATCCTGCTTGGAGTTGTCTTGGCTCCTTGCATCTGTAAGTTTATTGATTCCCTCCAGTTATTTTGGCCCACTTTCTGTCTCTCTCCTTTTCTTTTGGAACTCCAATTAAACATTTGTTAGGCAGCTTAAACTTATCCACAGATTTTTTCATTTTCTTCTGGTATCTTTTTTCTCTGTTCTTTATTTTGGGGAATTTCTATTGTTCAATCTTCAAGTTTATTATTGTTCAGCCTTCTACTGCCTCCAATGTTAAGCTGACCTAGTAAAGTTTCCATTTTAAATACTGTATTTCTCAGTTCTAGAATTTCCATTTAGTTTTTAAAAATAGTTTTCATTTCTCTGTTGAGATTTCCCATCCACCAACCTTAAGTCCTTGAAAATATTTATAACTTTTCTAAAATCCTTTTTCTGCTAATTCCAACAGCTTGATTATCTTGGGGGGTTAGTTTCCTTTGACTACTCTTCTTGAATGTGGGTCACATTTCTTGTTTCTTTGCAAGTCAAGTGATTGTTTTTTTTAATGTATACTGGATATTGTGGATGTCTACTACAGATTCTCCGAATTCTGTTAACTTCATATGAGGAACATTGGTCGTTTTTTCCCTTATAGGCAGTTAATTTGCCAGACTCAAACTCCAAACTCTGCCTCCTCCACAGCAGGCATCAGCTAAAATTATTTTCTTCTTTTAGCTTTCCAACTGTTGTTTTTCATTGAGAATCTTGGCTCCTCTCTTGTGTCTGCACAGTTTAGGAGTCAACCAAGGATCTGTAGATTTGGAGGACCCCCTTCTGATACTCTCTCATTTCTGCTGGAATCTCTTCCTTCTCCAGTCCTCTGCCCCTGTGCCGCCCCCCCCCTCCCCCGCCCCCCACGGCTTCTCTTCCCAGCTTCTCTGTAAGACCCAGATTCTGTTTTTAACTCCTTGAGCCACAAAGATCTTGGCTTCCCTGGTGAAGGTCTGCCATCTTGTTTCACAAGGATTTAGGAATGCCCTAAGGCAAAACCCAAAACAAAACCGTAAAACTACAAAATCAACCCTGTGCGATTCACTTCTTTCAGTGATCAACTCCTGTCCTGTTTCTGCTTGATTTTTGTTGCTCTTCAGTGCCTTAGAATAGTTTATAATTGTTATCTGTGGGGGAGTTAATCCGATATAAGCTACTCCACTGTTACTGGAAGTGGAACCATTTAGTTGGTTTTGTTTTTTATCTAGTCTTTTAACTGGCAAGTTTAATTTGTATAAGTTCACTGCAGATATTAATATTTTTGTATTTGTTTCTACTATTTTATTCTTAGCTTCCTCTTTTTGTTTTTTAAGCATGTTGTCCATCTCTATGCGACAATAAGAGGACTCTAGAACACTTCACCTCCGATCCTTTCCCCTACCTTACATGCTGGTATTCTCCAGTATTTTGATTCTCCATGTATGTGTATGTGTATAGTATAATGACACAAAAATTGTACAGAACACCTTACAAAGCAGGTGACCATCTTTCAGGTTAAAAAAAATAGAGCATTACCAACATACTGATTTCCTAGGGCCACTGTAACTAAGTACTACAAACCAGGTGGCTTAAAACAAGAGAAATTGTCTCACAGTTCTGGAGGTCAGACATCCAAGGTCAAGCTGTTGGTGGGGCCATGGTCCCTCTTCTCGCTTCCTTCTGATTAATGGCAACGTAGACATTCGTCGGCTTCTAGGTGCATCACTCTAATCTCTGCCTCATTCATCATGAGGCCATCTTCTGCCTGTGTGTCTGTGTTTGCATGGCATTTTCTTCCAGTGAGGACACCAGTCATAACTGAATTAGGGCTCATGCTCGCTGCCTCATCTTACTTTGATTACACCTGCAAAGACCCTATTTCCAAATTAGGTCATGTTCTCAGGTACCAGGGGTAAGAAGATATCTTTTAGGGGGACACAGTTCACCCTATAACAACCAGTGCCCTGGAAGCATCCCTCTCGTTCCATTTTCCAGTTACTTCCCTTGCATTCCTTCCCACATCTGGAAACACTAGGTCAGTAGTGCTTGACTTTGAACTTTATCTAGAAGGGCTCATATAGGCCATTCTGTCCAATAGAATTTCCTGTGATGATGAAGATGTGCTATGTCTGCACCAGTATGGTTGCTAATAGTTACACATGGCAATTAAGCACTTGAAATGTGGTTTAACTGAGGAACTGAATCTTAAATTTTATTGAATTTTAATTAATCAAAATATAAATAGCCACATATAGTCAGTGTATCATATTGGACAGCACAGGTATGGTCTGTATTTTGGGTCTGTATGCCTTCAGTCAGCATCATTTTACGATTCATCTGATTCTTAGCACGTGGCTTCGGTTTGTTCATTTCCAGTACCTGTATAATAATTTTACATATGAATCATAATTCATGTATTATTTATGGACACTTGGTTGGCTGTTACAAGTAGTGCTCCTGTGACCATTCTCACACATGTCTGTTGGTGCACAGATGTCCACATTTCGGGGAATGTAAACCGAGGCATGGACTTATTAATGTTGACTTCAGTGGGTAATGCCAAGGCTTGTTTCCAAAGTGGTGGTTCCACTTTCTTTCATTCCAGTGGTGACTGTGTGTACCAGTTGGTCTACATCTTCAGACTAATCATGGAATCATTGGTCTTTTAAATTTTAGCTAGTGATGGGGTATTTCCTTGTAGTTTGAATTCACATGTTTACATGTTTCTGAGGAGTAATGTTTATTGACCATTTTGACATCTTTTGCCAGTGCCTTTCCAGATTTCTTGACAGTTTTCTTTTAGACTGTCTTTTTATTGATTTTTCTGGGTTGAAAATCTTTCAGTTCTTCCTGGGTTCAAGATCCCTGTATTGCAGATACTTCTCTCACTGTGTGTCTTGTCTTTTTTACTCATTTAATGGTGCTTTTGATGGATAAAAGTAATTTTAATCCATTCTAAATCACGATTCTTTTCTATACTGTTTTTTGAGTCCTACTGAATAAGTGTTTATTCCCTTGTATTATCTTCTAGAAGCTTTGTTGCTTATCTTTCACAGTTACATATACAGTAAGTCTGAAATTTATTTTTGTATATTCCACAAAGTAGTGGTAAATTTTTATTGTTTTTCCCATATGACCTTCCAATTGACCCACCACCATTTATTAAAAATACCATCTTTTTCCACCATTCTGCAGTGCCACCTTTGTCATCAGTCAAGTTTTCCTATGTGCATGGGTCTGCTTCTGAGCTGTCTATGCTGTTCTTTTGGTCTATTCGTCTGTTCTTGCACTGGTACCACACTTAATTACTGTATCTTATTATAGTGAGTTTTCATATCTTTCACAAGTCTTGTCACCCTTTTCTTCTTTGCTTAGAGCATCTTGGCTTTTCTTTGCATGTCTTCATCCCTTGGCATTCATCTTAGTGCAACTCACTGACCTACAGTCTAGCTTTAACTTAACACAGTATGTAGTAGTTTGTAATATTTTT